AAAAAGCCTCCAACCACAACCCGAAACATACTCTAAGTGTATAAACATACTCTCCTATGCCTAGGTCCTTGAATATCACTTCAAATTCATTTTGACCATGTATATTTGAATCATAGAAAACAAAAAGGAATAGATAAAACAACCCACAACCAACAAACATATCTAAAAGTTTGATAAGAGATAGAGAGGAAGAAAAGTAAACAACCTAAAAACTAAATCAAACAATTTCTATAAGTAAAATTGTCCAGGTCAATATGTTGAGGGGAGAATGGTGGAACCCAAGAGCTCCTTTGTCTATAAGAAGTTGTTCTAGGCAAATTTAATGTTTAAGAAGGAAGGTGTGAAACAGTTAGGGAAATAGGTGGCTCTAATTAAAGGATTAATTGTGAAACATGTAAAGCTTTTGTGCATGATGCAAAGAAGTGTAAAGGAAGATAGAAGTTAAAAAGCAATGGAGATGAATAAAAGAGATTCAACCACCTGTTAAGCATGTTATGGAAAGAATGAATCAAAAGGCAATGTCAAGAGAAGAATGAATCAAAAGGCAATGTCAAGAGAAGATGAGCAATTTTGCACAACAAAAAAGACAAGTAAATGCTACTAAGTAGATAAGTTGTTCCCAAGTAAGAACTTCTAGCAGTTCAAGAGGTAAACCATACTAAGGAGCTAAACAATAAGAAGAAAATTTATCCATGGTGTAAAAAATGTAACTAGGAAAAACACTATCAGCAATCAAATGCCAAAAACTACTTCTATTAGCCAATATGATGAAATGTAAATAATAAGTGAATCAATAATGTGTAAGTGTATAAACAAACTCTTCTATGCTTGTCTTTGCATCACTAGAAGAAATGTCAAGATCCTTTCCTATAATAGTGTCTAGATCAGCAAAAAGAATGGAAAGATACTCTTCTATGTCAAAGTATGAATCCTCTCTCTCTTGTGATAGTGTGTCTAGATTAGCAAAAAAAATGGAGAGGTACCCTTCTATGTCAAAGTATGAATTACTAAAAGGAAAAAAGAGATAAATCAGTTCACAGCCAATAAAATTATTTAAAAGCTTGAAAGGTAATGACTATTTTTTCTGTTTTAGCCAAAAGATGTTGCGATAATCTAAAAGCTTGATAGGAACAAACCATTATAAGCCTTAGAAGAAGAATTTACCTTGAGGCAGCAAAGGGATTAACAACTGTTGTATTACTGCTAATACCAACTATTTCTTGCACATGTTGGAATATAAGAACAAGGAAAATTACTTTCTAGAAGCAATATTCTTGCAAGCCTTGACAAACTACACTCCTTAAAACACATCAACACTAGAGTGAAGAACACATACTAGAACAAATTTGGTTGAACTTACCCTTGATGCTATAACCCAATTTCCATCAATTCGCTCTTGATGGATCCTTACTTGAGACTCATGCAAATATTGCTTTGCCAAGACGTTATATAATTGGACTATGTATCTTGAGCTAAGGAGAATCAAGAACCATCAAAGTAACGCCCTTCCTCCAACTGTCTTTATACCATTCATCAACTTCATCACCCTTTTCATAATGATGAACAACTATTTTTAGTGGGGAAGGTTTAACATATTGAGTACTAGACATCTTGAAAAGTTCCTAAACTTCTTCAATGCTCAAGTTTTCAAATAAGATCAAATCTTCAAAACTATTTGCATGCACCCTCACCTTACCTAAAAATTCCATTCTCTACAGTTCAATAAGTTAATAGATGAAAATATAACTAAACAACACCTCAATAATTGCAACCTAGTAGTGTAATTGAGCCCTTTAGAACTCAAGAATATCAAATCATATTAACATAACATATAAGAAAGGTGGTGTTTGTTGGGGAATAAGCCCAACATTGGTGAAAGCCCAACATTAGTGAAAGCCCAAAAAGCCCATATAAAGCCCAAAGGCATAGAAAGACAATCATGATACACCCACGTGACTAGTAGCATGTGGAATAATAGAGCAACAACACATGGTGTGATTGTCATAAATGAGGGTTTTAAATATCTCTCATTTACCCCCATGCAAGGCAATTACTCCATTACACTTCCCTTTTTGCAATATTTAGTTTTTGAGAGCTTCTCTCTAGAATACTAAATATTGCTAACTAGAGTGTTAGAGTGTCTACCCTTCGGATACTTCCTCAAGCTTTTTAGGTATTGGAGCAATTTAGGAACTCAATAATATGTGGTCTTGTGAAGCTATCCAAACAATGTTTTACATATGAAATCTCATTACGCAACCTAATGTAGCCCACTACCAATAAGCACAGCTTGTGAAGTGTTATACATACTGTCATGGATGCGAGGAAATAACATTGGACTTGTTTGAAGGCTTGTCCAAATATTGTTTTTCAAGATATAAACTTAAGAATATTAGATGGTATGAATAGAAAATATAAGAAAGGTGGTGTTTGTTGGGGAATAAGCCCAACGTTGATGAAAGCCTCAAGAGTCCATATAAAGCCCAAAGGTGTAGAAAAACAATCATTATACACCCACGTGACTAGCGACATGTGGACCAATAGAGTGATGACACATGGCATGGTTGTCATACATGAAGGCTATAAATACCCCTTATCTACCCCTATACAAGGTAATTACTCCACTACTTCTCTATTTGCAATATTTAATTTTCAAGAGCTTTTCTCTCTAGAATATTAAATATTACTAACTTGAGCATTAGAATGTCTGCCCCTAGGATACTTCTTCGGGTTTTTAAGGTATTAGAGCAGTTCAAGAACTCAACAATATCTAACTTTGTGAAGCTACCCAAATAGTGTTTTACACATGAAATCTTGATATGCGACCCAAAGCAGCCCACTGCCAACAAGCACAACTTGTGAAGTGTTATACATCTTGTCATGGATAAGGGTAGGCAACTAGATGGTTAACCATTTGGGAACCGAAATCCAAATTTGGAAATTAAATTCGGGTCAAGTTGGGTCTAATGGTTATTGGGTAAAAATATTTGGATTCGGATTTATTTAAGCTTAATTTTGTTCATTTTTGGATAGTGGGTCTAGTAACTAAAAACCAACATGTAGTTCTAATTAACTAAATTGGGCTGGGCTTATTTTTGGGCCAAAATTGGGAAAATTCTACAAAAAAATCTTTGAAAAAAAGGATGAAGCTTAGAAACCTAAATTCTTCATCTCTTCCCTGTCTCTCCCTCCCTGCCAACATTTTTAGATTTCCCTCTTAATCTCTCAATCTCTCAGTCTCTCACTCTCATGATCTAACCCAAAATTCCCTCCCCCCCAAATCAAATTTCAATTTCCCTCCATTCTACCAAACAAAATGGATTTTTTTACAAGTATATAAGGGTTTTATGTTTGTATAAGGTTATTTT